TGTTTATATTCCCTTTTGTCATCACACCCACTCTAGACTAGCCACAATAAGCATTCAATAGACCAGTCCAGACCCGTTCAAACCATGCCAGTCTGTTTCGAGTTTTGGTTTTAGCCATTTATGAATACTTGAGCTAATTAATTTAAATATTGAAAATGTGTAGCGCGTAGGTCGAAAACGGCGAAAAGGCGTCGCCGTTGCCATAAGTGCCGTCAGATAGAGCCAACATGAAGTGATATCAATACAGAAACCGCCGATATGCCATATTGAGAAGAGGAAAACCGATTGTGTATTATATATAAATCAAAATTAATGCCTGCTTAAATAGTATATACTTGTATTCCATAAGACAACAGAGTCATTAACTATTGGGGGGCTAATGAACTTGCCATACTGTGAATATGAAGCAATCTGCCAGTCGGACAAGTCAAGACATAAATAACAAACCCCAAACCAACAACGACAACAACAACAGCAACGCCATACAAATTATACTTAAATACTTAAATAGTGAGCGTATTTAAGGTATGTTTTCCATTTTTGGCTTAATTAATAACATAGCACTTGAGCCTTGCATGTTTCTCTTCTCTTTCTTTTATTTATTTATTTATTTTTTTTGGCTAAGAGCAAATGCAAATGTATCTGAAAAATGCTTTGGCTATAATTAACTGCACTTTGGCTATAGAGTACAGGTGAAATGTCAGGCACACCGCTGTGCTCGCTTTGGCGCCACTAAGCTGCCAATATGAAGTGCATATTGTTTACAGCACATGCTGAGCACTCACACACACACACACATATGCACACCCAGCAGGTTTTTGCTAATCAAGCCGAGTAGGGCAGGAATACCACATTTATAAGTATATATAATTGAAATATATATAAACTTGTTAATTTTTTTTATTGTTTGTTTGCCTTGAGTAACTTGCCAGCAAGTTGGCTTGCAAATTATGTATATGAAAAAAGTTTACAGTTTTCTTGTTGCAGTCTTCAAAAGTTCATTATCTTGTTTGATTTTTTATTAGTACTGCTTCGCCAGCATTTTGATCAGTAACATATGATTTAACAATCTTTTTGTCGTTATTGCATAACGATAGTTCCTATTGTTCATTCTATCGATCAACTGTCATCAGTTTGGTGAGTCAACTTTTATTTAAGCTTCGCTTTTATAAACATACAAATTTAAAAAATGAAACAAATTCGATAATTTGAATGGCAAGAAGTATCGAAATTTCAACTGTGATTTAAATGCAGCTCTACGTAGAGCAATAGATGAAATACTTTAAATCATCTTTTAGTTATATTTATATTTATATATTGTTATGTAAGTGTTATCTCTAGCGCTTATACCGAATCGATAGTTGATTTTGTTATTTTAATATTAAAATAATATTTATTTAATTAATTTATTGCTTTTTGTATAGTTTCATTAATATAAAAATAAATAAATATCTGTGAAAATCAGATCTTTAGCCATTCAACTTGGGATCAATCACTTTTTGTGTGCACCGATTAAAGAGAATAAAACACTTTTATTCACTTGGCTATCATTTTGTTTATTTTTTCCGTTTTTTTTTGTACGCTTAACAAAACGTTGTCTTTCCACTGTGCTTATTGTTTATTGTTTTGTCTTTTAAATGCTTCGAACGTGCTAAATATGTATTTAGCACTTCATTTTTTTTTTGTGATTGTTTTTTAAAGTTAATGGCGAAGAGTTGGCAAAAAAAAAATCGGCCGTCGCTTGAGATATTTTGTTTTGCTGCGGCTGTTGTTGTTATGTCCACTTTTGGCAGCTGTTCATAGCCATATATATATATACATAAATAATTATATAGGTACTTATGTGGCGTATAAATATAATAGTATCTATGAGAGAATATGCTATCAAAATAAATACATAATAAATGTGGCATGACAATTGCTGAGACAAGCATTGAGCACTTAACTCATTTTTGTGATTATTGCTTCCTGTATGTATTGTAGAATTTGTGCTCAAGTATTTGTGAGAGCTTAGATTGTTTTGTTGTGGCGTATTTGAGGTGAAATCGGGCATTCAACTGGCGAGCGAAGAAGAAATAATGTTACAGAGCCAGATACAAAAGTATCTTTCGCAAATAGAGAGATACACCACTGACTGTTCACACAAATTAGCGATTGGTAAAGCGTACCTGCTTACTGATTACACACAGACAGCAAAGTCAAGCAATTAGCCAAGTTAAATACATAATGCATTTCTGTCTGGGCCAGCTACTGCGCAGTCCGGCTGTCACTGCCAACGTCGACGTCGACGTCTTAAGTTGGCCAGCAATGCAGCCAAGCATTCAGTTAAGTCGGCTGCAAAAATATATATTTATATATCTTAAGCCATGCCGTGACCGATAAATCTGCTAAAATGCTCGAGCGAAAAATGATTGCGGATTGTGGTTTGTGGTGCGATTTGGCTTTGGGATCTGCATCAGCATCTGCATCTGAGTTATGGGCTGCACTTTAATTGGCGGCTTTTGGTTAGCCACCGATTTGCAGCTGATCTATGCAAGTTATAGCTGCGATTCACGTTAAGCGCAGTACGAGATAGTAACTTGGCCAGCATATTATCTGCTTAAGAGTTTAATCGTTGCTAAACGCTCTACACAACTTCCATTTCACCATTTTAGTTGTCCCAGCAATTGGGTCAGCTGCGTGCTGCACGGCAACAACAACAGCAGAAGTAACTCAAGTCGCACGTTTCTCGCCTTGTCAAATCGTTCTCAGCTAACGTATCTGTATCTTTATCTGTATGTATGTATCTGTATCTATGACTGACTTTTTTGGCCTTTGATGCAACTTGTTTTGGACTTGTTTGTTGGCATTCTTAGCAGCCAATGCCACAGCCAACGACAATGGAGCGTTAAGTCTGAGCTGGCATTCTGCAATGAAATATGGACACAATTTTCACTCCCACCCCCCGCTTTGTCACTACAATAATAATAATAATATTGTTTAGAAATATTGTGCACACAACAGCCAAGCAAAGATCAGCCAACGTCGCCATAATAACTATCTTAAAGTTTTAAGCTATCAAACTCTGAAATAAGCACGATTGAAAGTTGTTCTCTGGTGTTGACAGGTTTTCGGCGTGAAAAAATTATGCTAATTGGCAAAGTTCAGCTAGTTTTATCTAACGATTAACCCACAAAAACTAATCCTACGTGAAAATAAACAAAAGAATTAGATTCTATTGCTTTATATGCGCAGTGAACTATATTATATTTGTGACTAAATTTCACATTCAAGCATTGTAAATATCATATTTCTCTAACTCCAAAAATGGATAAAAATTACATAAACAAAATAATACAACGGTTATGAGTAGAATAAAATATACATATATACAGCAGGCTTAAGTTCAGAATCATTTTTTTTTTCTTCTCCGATTTATTTCGAATCTTTTAGGGATTGATTTATAGAGCTATGCAAAAATTATACAACATTTATTATATATATTTTAAGCTATTGTGCTCAATGTTTCTTAAGTTTCAAATCCCTCTTCAAGATCATCTACAGCTACAAGTTAAGAGTTGAAATATGACTCCTAATCTAGACAACCGTATTTTCCCACACTACTGCTTAACCCAGAAACCAACTATAACTTGACCACAAATATCTCAGAATTGGGTGGAAAATTGGAATGAAAATATTAGAGCTATATATCTATAACGACTTATCTATGGATATGTGACAGCATTTCAGTTTTGATTGCACCCAAATACCATATACCAGAGTCACCCTCTAAGAAACCAGCCAAAAGTAGCTAATTGTCAGCACTGGTTTAGATATGTTGGCAACGCCAGTGGCAGGTTAACTTCAACCAATAGCTGCTGGCCTTGGTTACTGGTTTCTAAGCCGAGCTGAGTGGCTTCCAACACTTGAGCCTATAACACTCTGTGTGTGTGTGTGTGTGTGTTTGTGCAAGTGTGTTGCGGTGTGTGTGTGTGTGTGTGGTGTTGTGGCTAATGGCAGAGATTGAAATGTCATTGTTGTCAGCTTAGCGTTTGAAATTAAAGCCCCAGCAAAAAAGATCATCTAAAACTCGAGCTCAAATTCGCTGCTTGGTCAACCAAAAAAAAAAAAAAAAAAAAGCAAAAACAAACAAAATTGTACATTTTGCTAACACTTCAAAATTCTTTATTGCTCTGTTTTTGTGTTGCTGTTACTGCTGTTACTTCATTTATTTCTGTTACTACTGATACTACTGTTACTTCTGTTATTTGTTGTGTTTTGAAAAGTAACTCAAACGAAATATTTCTCGCTGTCTGAAAATGTTTATCAAAGCCTTAAAAATCGTTCGGTGCCCATTCACAGCTAATGTCTTAAGTCGCTTCAAGCGCAAGCTAAATCCAACCAAAACAATGTCCGATGATCTGGACGAGCTGTTTCTCTCACCAATACCGGCCCCAACTCCCGTAGAGCTGCAACAGTGCATCTTGTTTGGCTTCCGCCGTCGCCTCAATCCCGCCCAGATACTCGACGAATGCTGCAACGCATTTGGCCCATTTGCGCCAAGTGCGTCGTATGTGGCTCGATGGTATCAGAGATTTCAAGAAGGCCTCTTTACCATTGACGATCGAGACGATGATGACGATGACGATGATAAGGAATGGTGTGGGGGCGGTGGCGGTGGGCGTGACCAAACGCCAACCACTTGCAGTGACTACAATGACTACGTTAATGATAATGACAATGACCATGGCCTATTGCCGCTGGTCTTGCATGATATGGGGCTGCTAAAGGATAGTTATGACAATGATGTTTATAATGAATACAATGATTATGATCACAATGATAATGATGATGCTGATGATGATGATGATCATGATGGGCACGTGATTAGTTATTGGCACGGCTATGGTTATTTGGGTGGCAAGCACAGGTATCTTTAGTTTTATATCTCCCCCTTCATCATAAATATTTCAACTAATTTCGATTTTTTTTGCTTTCGTTTTTGTTTTTATTTTAAACAGCGGAATGTCGATAAGCGGCTTGCCGCCATTGCCAAAATCTCTTAGCGGTTTCAACAAGCTGCTCGGCTCCGATTCGGGACTACTCAGCGATGTTGAGGCACAGCAGGAGTTGGAAAACAGCAATAACAACAACAACGACAACAACAAGGAGAACGAGAGCGGCAACAAATTAGCAAGCCAAATAGTTAGTGATAACAAAAGCAACAACAACAATTTGAACAGCGATAAGCAGGCATCTAAAGACAGCAGCAGCAAAGATAATGCAAACGATAAATCAGCAACGGCCACAGCAGAGTCAGCCTCACTAACAACAACAACAACACCAACAACAGCAACAACAAACCTGGCTGCCAATGCAAGTAAAAATGAAAACAATTCAACAACAACAACAACAACGACAGCAGCAACAGCAACGACAATAATAACAACAACGAAAGCGACAACAACAGCGCCAAGCTCACCTGCAAAAATCAATGTAACGGGCAGCACTCTGGACGCTCAGATAGCGACGCTGCGAAAGGAAATGGTAAGTCGATTGCCCGCCAACCAAGCAACCAGCATTTGGCTGGAAATATATTTTTCTGCTATATGTATATACCCTATAAAGTGGGTACACATTTGGAATTAGTTGACAAGAATGTAGTTATTTTTAGGATTTTGCTTCAAATTAGTTAATGGAGTTCTTATAAAAGATTATATCATTATCTTTGTAATTTGGGATATTGAAATGTGTTCAGTTAAATTAAATTAAATTTGTTTTAAATCAGTTAAATGTAATTTCTCAAATTTATATATTTACCAGATATATTAAAAAAAAATAAATATCCCTATTTTATTTTTTTATTTTAGTGATTGGTTCTTATCATTTTTTCAAATCAAAATAAAAAATATTTCTATTAAGCATTTACAATGCTTAATTTGAATGCATTTAAATGCACAATACCATTATGAGAGATATTATATACACTCTGTAACACTATACTGGGTATATTTATTGACTACCACATGTGCAAAGCTCTCCTTTGCTCTTGAACGAAGGAACTCTTCATCACAACTCCCCAAAATTAAGTATACCAATTACTCATATGACCTTCTATTGAAGAGTACTTGTATTTCGCCTAACTGTAGAGTGATTTATAACGCTTCTGCGTTTGATCACAATTTGGGTTGGTTTGCGTTTTGGTTGCTTGCCTTTGCTTCTGCTTTGGCCACAGTTTTCGGGGCGCGTCGTTTACATATGAAATGAAGCTAAGAAATTCTGTTAGCTTCTGCTGCTGCTGCTGCCGCTGGTTTACAATCAAAGTGAAAATACTTCAACGAACGGAAATGATTTCGAGCTGCGTATTTGTTGATATATGTAAATATGTATATATATATATATGTGCCGTCTGTCAGCACATGAATTCCCAAACAGCAATTTCAGATTTCACTGTTTGAAAATTCTTCAGCTTTGGCTTGCACATTTTTCATTACTGGCAGTGAGTACGAGTCGTAATCATTTGTTAGTTCATTTTTCATATTTTTTTTTTTACTTTACACAATAAAAATTGCATTTTTTGGGTGCAGCTTTCTACAACTTTGAGTTGAGTGATGATGTTTGTTGGGCATAGACGTATCTGTAATGATTCTTTTTGCAGCTGCAGCTGAATTTGAATTCGCTCTCTAACTTTTGGACTTCTATAAAAGCGAAAAAGAAAGTAAAGCCCATGTCGCGACAACTTTCAGTTTTTTCCGGTGGCAGAGTTCATGAATATTTCAGGGCATTAAATAAGCTCACCCCGCGACTAAACTCCAAACTTTGACATTGTCGCGCTGTCGCTAAGCTGATATAAATGACCATAAGGCAGTCAAATGGTCATTTTCATGCGAGTTGGGTCAACAAAGCGAAAAATGCAAATGCAGCTTTAATTCATTAAGTCGAATTGGCAAAGCAATTATCTTACCAATTCGAAATAGCCAAACCAAAAATAGTATGATACAGCGAACGAAAGAGAGAGAGAGAGAGAGAGCTGCCCCAAAGCAATGGGGCGGCCTTTGGCTTTAAAGTTTTCCAGCTTTTGTTTCTGCTTTTTGTTGTATGTGAGAGTGTGTTTTTTTTTGTGACATTTAGCCACGATACCAAACACTTTGTCAGAGTTGAAAGCGCAGGCGCAACGTTTATTTTGGCGTTAGTCTCTTCAAATAATGTATTCATTTGACATCATGCCTTGGGGCATAAGTATGAACAGGCAGCAGCAAGTGGCAGCAAGGGGCGATAGAAAGGGGCGTGTTTCGTGACTCTGATGTGAGTAAATGTAGCTGCAGGTCAATTTTATAATTACGATGCATCAAAAACTAAATGGGAATTTAAGTGAGCATCACAGTCTGACGTGCAATTAATACGAATGTAAAATATTTGCAAATACTCTATGCGATTGCTATTTATGGAATTTGCGAAAATATTGATGGTTTTATAAATCAAAAGAGTATATACGTCGACTATTTCTGAAAATTGTAGTTGCATGTAAATCCTTATACAATTTTACTCTTAATTCCATGGCCAGAATTGAGTAGAATTCTATTAATTTTATCACTCTTTCTATAACTATTTATATGAATTATTATATTTAATTCTCTTTGCCCTCAAAACATTTTTTTTTTCTTTTAATATTATAAGTATTTTACTTCTTATTATTAATTATTTTTTATTACGTATAACTGCAACTTAATTAAAAATTCTGTTTATTTTAAATGACCTTAAGATTCAATTCAGGTTCTACATAGAGTTGCTTAAAAATGCGCACGATTTATCGTGGTTACAGCTTAAAACAAGAATTAACACATGCAAAATGTATATATATAGAATATATGTGTAATTAACGGGTCACAGCTGATGCGAGTTTGTATCTGTATCTCATGTTACATCCGTTTGCGATGTGAACTCGAATTGAGTTGGAAGTTTTTCACATACTATTTGAGGTATTTGGCCAGTGTTTTTGAGCTGATACGCTGATCACGAACTGCACATGGCATTCGCATGTGAATTGTGACACGTTTTTTGAGGCTGCCACCTGACTGGTGGCTAACTGACTTGTCTATTGGTCTTTATAACTCTGTTGGCCAGGCCCACATACACGGCCTGCGGGCCAAGTGTTGGCCAAGTGCTACTCGAAGTTGTGCTCTTGACCAAGCCTCAGCGCCATCATCATCCCAACATCGTTGCTGTTGATTTTGTCGTTGACGGTTGACAGTTGATTTGTAATTTGGTTTGTTTTTTTTTTTTTTGTGTGATTTCAAATTTTTTGTTGCTGCTGCAATTAAATAAATTAAAATTTGTCTGCACGCTTGCGCAATAATTTAACATTTGTAACGCAACTGCGACTTGTTTTTAATTGCAATTCGATTGGGCTTTGTGGGTTACACATAGTATTTGCCAGCCAGCCAGTCAGCCAACTGAGGCTTGTCTTAGCCGGGTCTAAAGTCTAATACTGGCCACAAAAAAAAACCTTTCACATTTTATGCCTAGCTCCGGCGACCTTTTGTAAAGAACCTGTTTAATGGTACACCAAAGGCGTAGGTGTAAAACTAAAACAAAATCACAATTGTGGTGCGGCTGAGGTTGGTGGTGTTTTCGGTGGTGCTGGCTGACTAGGAGCGGCCACGTTTCGAGTCTATTTGTTGCCCCACAAAAACCCAAAACACATCTAGATTTCTGGCGAACAGTTTAGTTTGTTGTTGTTTCTATTTGCTACAACAGATTTTGGCCTTTTTGTGCTCCGTATTGGAGCGCCAATTGTGTGGCAACTAAGTACGTTTAAGCATTTAAGCCATTTGGCAATTTGCATACCAGTTGTGCAATAATTCTGCGGCACTTTTTTGCATTTTTTATTTTATTTTATTTTTTGGGTCAGGCGTCATCTGTGGGCTGGGCAATCCTTAGTGCTCTCCTATTTATTTTGTGTTACCTGTTGGCTGTTACCTGTTGGCTGTTACAATTAAATTACAACCGTTGCTATGTGTCTTGTTACCAATTACGCTCCACTTGCTCTTGTTACCGTTATTATTGTTGCTGTTGTTGCTATGAATGTTTCAACTAATTTCACGCGCTCAAAGCCAGTTCGAAGTTAAAGCCAAAAATGCCGGACAACGCCAACGCTCGCCCAATGACACAGTAATTGGTCATTGTTTTTGGCCAACCAATTGTTGTACCCTACACAAAGAGAAGTACTATAAATTAAGGCATGATATATGCGACATCATGATATATGCGAGTGGAAGGCGCGACCTTAGCCAACTTTTATATAAATCACGTTTTTTTGGAAGACATTAATGCAGTCTGTTTTAAATAAATATAATTGAGATCAAATTTAATAAGTAAAGTATGTATGTGCAGTAATAGTGATTAAATAATTCTAAAAGATTTTATTGTTATTGCTTACATAATTGTTTTGACAAACTTAAACAATAAAGAATAAAAATGCAAATAATTTGTCCATTCAAGTACTCTTCGAGGAAATCATAGATATTTAAGAGTCCCCGGATTGTTAAGTAAATATACATGTTAATTATTCATTTATTTATTATTCGTTTTATAACATAATTTCAAAATTTTTTTATATACAACAATTCAACTGATTACTCTCCAATTATTATGCATAATTATATTAAGTAAGTGCTGAGAAAGACAGTTTTTTTGGTGGTTTGTTGCATTTTTTTTATTTATATGAATGGTTTGTCATCCAAGGCATGATGACTGTGGAAAAACTCATTGCAATTATGTGCTTACATTGATTATTCAAATTAGTCGGCTTGATCAACATCATCACTGTCAATTTCCTCATCTGCATCATTATTTGTTTGTAGCTAATGATCGCAAGCGACACTTTCATAAATGTTTGCATACTTAATCAAATTTATCAAAATATTTGAAGATTGCCTAGTTTCCCACAACTTACATGTCTTTTGTTTTGAAATGCTGTTAACAAAAACAAATTAATATAAAATCGCCACTGTGGTGCTGCCAAAAATTACTTTACAGCTGGGAAAAGCATATTATTTTGAATATGTAAACTCGTAATTTCTGTTTCGAATATTTTCTATATAAAGTAAGTTAATAATAACTTGTTATATATATCACTTAACAATTATGCAACATTATATATTATATGCATTTGTGAAGAGTATTAAGTAAGTCGTTAAATTAGTCTTGGCTGTTAGTACCAATGGATAAACATTTAAATTTACTCGTTTACAATTACGCGCGGCCTGTCGCCGGGCCTCGAATTGGGGGCTGCGGATTGCGGACAGCGGGTCTTTGGGCCTGGGTTAGTTTGGCTTTGTTTTTGCAAATGTTGCGGTTGAATGATTAACGATTCAAGCTGTGAACTGTTTGTGGGTGTGTAACACACAACACACACACTCACACACACACACACACACACATAGTACATGCTTACATACCTGGTGCAATTATGTTAGTTGGCCGCTTTTGCTTTCAATTGTTCAATTGCTCAGCTCAGCTCAGCTCGGCGGCAACGATAAAAAACC